GGTAACTATGATGAGAGTGACAGCTTTTCAAATGTCAAGAAATATTATCACACACACACACACACACACACACACACACACATATTTCTCTCTCACTCATAAACATATAGATAGATTTTGTAGGTAGAAATGAGAGAATACAAAATATAAGATGAATAAAAACTAAAGCAAAGCTAGGTTATAACTTCGAAGTTAGATCTTATACAAATGTACACATTTAGTAAAATCCATGTTAAGAACGAATATATATATACATACACACACACGCACACACGCACACACACACACACACACATATATATATATATATATATATATATATAGAGAGAGAGAGAGAGACAGACAGACAGAAAGAAAATCGGTTTGTTCTTAAAAGTAGGAACAACTTGCACTTTAATATCACCAATAGGTATTATGTGAAAGTTAAACAATTTCAATATGAAAATAAATATTGCAATGAATCATAACCTTGGTGATTTCTCTTGTAATTTGCTTTTATTGACAAGTGTATGCAGAATTCTAAAACAGGTCCTTATATATATATATATATATATATATATATATATATATATATATATATATATATATATATATATATATATATATACACACGCTGTTCGCATAATTTGTTAACATCTCGTTGTTCTTATCAGAAAATAAAAAAAGAGAATATTTCTGTTTAACTAAAACTTTATTGGTAATTTTCAAGATGTTTTTGATACAATTCTTCAATTAATTCTAATCTGATAGGATGATCAGACATTTTTGTGTATTCTGTCTAGCAAAAAACTTTACATGAATTTACATGAGATACGTTTGTTAACGTTCTTTTTGCGGGAGACCTGCACACGCACGCGCGCGAGCACACACACACACACACACACATATATATACATATATATATATATATGAGTGTGTGTATGTGACTAAACTAGATGCATATTAACATCGTGAACGCGACATAAAGCTACACAGATACATAACTATATAAATAAACTGATCGGAATAGATATGCAATAGATAGATAAATAGATCGTTAGATGAGATGAGAGCCCAAGGGGGATGATAGTTAATTGACTGAGGTAAACAGACGATATAGGCAACCAGGGAGACAGATAGGAAAAACTTGCAAACAGATGATGAAATATTAACAGACAGAAATAGAATGACAACCAGATATGCAGATACATAAAACAGAGAGGCGTGGACGAATGAGCATAGATAGATAGATAGATAGATAGATAGATAGATAGATAGATAATAACGAATATTAATAAAATGAATGTTTCTTTTTCGGGAACCCTGCATATATATATATATATATATATATATATATATATATATATATATATATATATATGTACACGAAGTTTAACTAAGGCTATAACATTGATAAAAACACAAGATAGATATAGATAGAAAAACATGCCTGCATGTTTCTGTTTTCACAATCAACACCCTCCCCCGACACACACGCGCGCGCGCGCGCACACACACACACATATATATATATATCTAAATTCGCTAAAAATGAACATGCATCACGAAAAAATGCCCTAAACTTAGTAAAAACAAAATTTTATTATCAAATTTTTATATTATTAAAAAAAAGATAAAATGATTTTTAGATTATTAAATTACATGTTTTATGGTTTTTAGAACCTTCGAAATTTTGGTTAAAAATTTTGCTTTTCTTACATCAGCAGGGGACCATAAGTATAGCAATTTTTGTGTGAAAAACATTGGTTTGGAAAATTTTTTCAAAAATAAAATACTTGTCAATTTTTAATGAATCTTTCTGGACTTATTTAGAAATGAATGAAATTATTTTTGAAACAATTCTTTTTTTAGCAAAATGTTACTAAAAATATATTTTTTACATCTGTTCCCCTCCCCCCACTTATTAAATTTTATGACATTTCGAGAAATTCTTTTTTGTAGTGCTTAATGTATGTATTAATTATAAGGACAAGTCCTCGGAGAATTTAAATCATGACATTTCTTTTGTCAAACAGGACACATAGTTGCAGAAAATCTGCTCTGAATAGTCAAATAAAAAATGCAAAAAGACATTACTTAATTAGAAAATATATTAATTGCTGTTATTAATAACATATTAATGACGCTATTGTCTCAAGAAAAAAAAATATTTGAATAATGAATTTTTACAAGAATTGTTTTAATTTTTTAATTTTAATTAGAATAATTTATAAACTTTTAAATCTTTTAATATTCTGCAGTAATTTGTAGCGGTCAAGTGATAATGTTATTACATTAAAACTGTATATACTAATCATGAATCGAAAAGGTCACTACAATTCAACGATGCTCAATGTTTTAAAAAAGATCTTTGAATTTATTTTATGATTTATAAACGTATGAATTTTTGTAAATACGGATGTCCAAACGAGACATTGTCAAGAGCGGTAACTATGTTAAAGTTACAATTTGCTGGTAGCATTTCCTCAACAAGCATCTTTATAAGTTAGAAGCCAAAGTACCTAAAGTTCAATTAAATATTACTTAGAATTATTTCTTAAACTGGTAAGATTACTGGGTAATTCAAAAAATTATATAAAAAAGGCGTCCATGTTATATTCGTCAAGTAATTGATACCCTTAGAAAGAATATACCTCTTAGAAAAAATTCCCAAACATAGGTTTATCGAGAGCGTTGTCAGCTGCTCATAAATAACACCCATCTTTGGGTTATTTTAAACTAATTGTAACTAATATTTGTTTCAAATCAGATTAATTAAACTTTAAATCAGTTAATCTTTCCCAAATAAAGTTTCAGAAATGGATATTTTACTTTTGAAATATTTTTAATAAAGATAATAACGTTTTGTTGCCAGATTTGTCAGTATGGACGATTTTAGTGCTTTTACTGTTAATAAAAAAAAAACTCATTTCAATCAATTTAAATACAGCAAGGTACTTATTGGAAATATTAACTTTAATCTATTAGCTTGAAATTAAGACTAATATAAAAGCTTCCAGAAAGATTGCTCATTTTTAAAAATGAATTTTAAACCTTAGGTATAGCGTTTCTTTTGGAGTATGATGAAGGTAACATCAATCAGCTAAGTGACAAACTTTTACTCACTTTAATCCTATGTATCTATATATGTCTCTCTCTCTCTATATATATATATATATATATATATATATATATATATATATATATATATATATATATATATATATAGAGAGAGAGAGAGAGAGAGAGAGAGAGAGAGAGAGAGAGAGAGAAGAGAGAGAGAGAGAGAGAAATGTGAGAGAAGGAGTGTGAGAGAAAGAGAGATAGCTTTTCTTAGTTCTAAGGCTATGACGATAGATAGATAGATAGATAGATAGATAGATAGATAGATATGAACGTACTCACTAGATATTGAGACAGATAAATAAATAGGTGGATATGCATGCAATTATTTGCATATATATTCAGATTGATAAACAAAGAAACAACTAAGAATTCGTTTGAAAGGGAATCAGAAGAAAGAGTCAAAAAATGTACATGGATGAAGAAGGAACGAGAATTATTTATTTATCTACTTTATTTTATATACACACTGAAACGTCAAGATAAGACAAAGGAAATACATATATATATATATATTCAGTCTGTCTATATTATATACTAAGTGTACCGATTTTGATTCTGACGATGTGACCTGTTCATGTGACCCCGTCATACCGAACTGAGCTTATTAAATATCTACGCATCGATATATAGACATATCTATCTACCTCAAAGGTAGATGTGTTGGCTAGGATAGTGATGTTTTTTTTTCTGGCATCCGTGGTCGGTGTTCAAGTCCAGCTGCAAGCTGCAATGTAGAATTCGGATTTAAACACCAGCAAGCAACTTAGAATAAAAATGTAATGGATGTTTACTTGGGTAAAATGATCATTAACTACTGTTTTTATCTATTTTTAGTATTTAGTGTTTTAAATGTGGATATTGTTATTCCTGTTCCACATCATAATTCTCTCGAATTAAATTCGACTATAACGAAACAGATTCATTTTCACTTTAAAAATCTAACAGTAAAATATTTAGGAGCAAACAGGAATATATTTATTCGTGATCTGCCTAAAATACTTACATATTTCCGACCACCGTTTGATGTCAGAGGATGAAGTTCGAAACCAGATATACCACAATTTATTTAATTTTACGGCAGACCTAGTCTACCCACCTGGGAGAGTGTCGTAACATAATTTTAATCGCTTCAATTTTCTTTATTTCTCCTTTATGTCTATGTTAAACTTCAAGGGACTTGTACTTAATAACTTACGCTAATACATCACGGAAGTTCGTCAAAACTAAAAGTAATTCTTAAAAAAATGTCCGGTTTTGATACTATTTAAAAGACAGGATTTTGAATGCCGTTTTTTCTCTTCTTGGTACGCTCAGATTGAAGTAAAATCCAATTTCCCTCTAACCACATTTGGTCATACATCATAAGTTTAAGGCTTGGGACATCAATAATTTTCACAACGAACTACGGATGTTCAGCATATTTAAATTAAATTTTTTTTTTTTAAATAATGTATTAAAATACATTTTTGTCATTTGCGTGTTTTTTTTTTTAAATCAAGAATAAGAATTTGGATACTTACAAGAAGTTTCCATACACACAGTAGCAGAAATAAATAACTCCCAACATAAACTTTGTGTGAGATTTAATGCCCATACTTGCATGGTGAGATTGCATAGGTTGTGATTCCTAGTCGAACAACCTTTCGTGATTGTCCAATACTGACTACATATACACACAAGCCCCCGTGAGGCCGGCTCTCTTGAAATTACCACCAACATGCGAAGACTGTAGTTAAAAAAAGAAGTTTTTTTTTCTCTCGATGTAACCTTCAAACACAGTGTCCGATTGGACAACCGTTTCGCTTGAAGGAGCATTAATAGTTCGCTAATGTTTCAAGCTCTCCGATTGGCTTAGACAGGCAGACATTACTCGTCTAAAGCCACGCCCATATATG